CGCCTAGTTTTCCCGACGGGACGCAATGGGTGACAGGCTATCTCGGCGAGACCGGCGGAAGGGCGATGGCGAGCGTCGGGGAGATGGCGAACGGAATACTCGGCGGGGAGACGACTCAGGAGATGAAGAGTTGCGGAGGTAGTCCTCGATGTCCCGAGGTCGCTCTCCAAGACGTGGTCGAGGGTCGTTGGGCGCGAACCCTCGTAGGCCCAGCTAGCGGTAGGGGCATCGTCGGTAGATATGGTCGGCTTCCCCGCAGTGGTAGCACAACGGGCGTCGATCAGCCGTCCTCCACACGTCGGTCTTCCTTGGCGCAACTTGTTCTGGACGAACGTGCGCCCGATCTTCCTGGCGTCGGGAATGCTGCGGCTCTTGAAGCACACGTCGGGGAGGCGCCATGTACGGACGCGGTGCTGATGGTGCTCGGCGGAGCATTTCGGCGTAGCTTCCGGCTGGCTCCTGCTGTGCTGCTGCGGTGACGGCAACCTCGGGATGGAAAGCTCGGTGAACTTCCTCTCGGACGACGTCGGCGAGTGAGAGTGAGGCTGGGCGATCTGTAGCAGGTAGAATCTTCCGGAGCTCTTCCCGGACGATATCCCGGACGATATCCCGAAGGCTGTCGACACCGGTGGTGCTCAGGTCCGGAAGGGTAGCTGCGACGGTTGGAGAAGTAAGCGCGCCAGCGAGTCGGTGGTAGTGGCTTGCTCGGACCGTCAGTGCGCGCTCGATGTTCGTGGCTTCACTCACAAATGCATCGACGGTCGTCGGGGGATTGCGAACCAGGCCTCCAAAAATTTATGCCTTGACGCCTCGCATGAGGATTCGAAGTTTCTTTTCCTCAGCGGCCTCCGGGTCTGCTCTGGCACTTAGACGCAGAACGTCCTCTACAAAGCTGGTCAGGCTTTCATTGGGGCCCTGCACCCTTGTTTGAAGCAGGTCCTCTGCTCGCTGGCGACGATGGTGGTTAATGAATGTTCGTTTAAGTTCGGCGACGCAGGACTCCCATGTGGGGAAGGAGGCTTCGTGGTTTTCAAACCAGTGCCTCGCAGTGCCTCCAAGCGAGAAGTAAAGGTCAGTCGTCCATCCGTTGTGGCGGGCTACACGTTCGTAGCGTCGCAGCCAGTCTTCGATGTCTTCGTGGACCTCCCCGTGGAAAGGCGTCGGAGTCCGGGGTGCGACGGGCAGGACGACGACGCTGGCGGTGGACGGGTTCTGCGACGACTGGCTGTCCATCGTTGGTCTCGTTGGCTGCTTAGTCTTGGGCGGCAGAGGTCCGAATTCCGGGTGTAGGCCTTGGGTGCGACGACTGAACCGGATCTCGGAAGTGCTTTCGTTGGTTCTTCGTGGGCTAGGCGTCGGACTTGCACTGCGGGCCCTCGGAGGGGTACGCGCAGGGGCATGCGTTACCCCGCACCTCCACCAAAATGTCACGGGTGGTGACCAAAAACAATAAATACACAAAAAAGAAATAAACGTTTAATGTGGCGAACTTGTGCCAAAATAAAAGGAAATAGAAAGATAACAACAGAGCGTCGCGGGCGTAGAAGGCGGCGAAGCAGCAAGGTCGAACGCTGAGGCGAGACTGACTCGACAAGGTTACGGGTGGCCTCTTATCTAGAATGAGGCACTATCTCGAAGATTCGGCGGAGAAGGTTCGAGCGTAGCGCGCTCGGGGCGAGAATGAACACGCACTTTCTAGAACAACATAAGCAGGGATAAACGACAGAAGTTATGTCCGGAGCAAGAATAAACGAGAAAGTTCTAGAGGTCCGTGACCTTGCGCGCGGCAATATAGCAAAAAGTAAACTATTTATACTATATCCGAGAGGCACACCGCAGCACCGCAAAGAAACCTTAGACTCGCTCCTCCACCCAACTGCAGACATTCCCGGTATAAATATATGCTTACCCCACTCCCCTGTCCCCTTTTCTCTCCGATGTCAGTAAACAATTGGTTAGAAAGAGTCATACCCATTTTATTTTTATCTTTTAATAAAGGCATATTCAATTAATCAAAAATGGCCAATGCTTCAATTCGATGAGTCGCACAAGTTTGTTCTGTCTGTGGAGCAGCGGGTACATCACACATTTTGTGGTGTTCGCTCAAATGGGGTGCGCTTTTGTGTCGCGCGCTCAACTGGTTGTGCGCTCTCGTGTCGCGCGCTCAACTGGTCGTGCGCTCTCGTGACGTGCGCTCCAGCGTCAAGTGCGCTACTGTCGCAGCGCCCTCGTGTCGCGCGCTCTAACGTCGGCGCTCTAGTGTCGCGCGCTCTAAAGGCGCTCTCCCGTGTCCTCCGTTTGGTAGTGTCTTCAACTTCTTCATCAGTCTCCAGAAGGCCACAATTATTTTGGCACAAATGTGATACGCCGAGATGACGATAGTAATTAATGTGGCCACACTACATATTGAAAAAAGGTTTGTTGTATCTATAGGTGGCTGGGACCCTTAGACTGTAATGCGTACTCGCTGTAACGGGTAAGGAGTCTGATAGAAGGCTGAGAGTTTATATTAAATTCTTGCAGTACTATACCGGGTGGTGTCCCAAGCATACGGCCAGGCTTTTTAAATCGACCGCGAAATTCGGTTTATATCGCGCTGCAATTTTGTGCAGCGTCGCCCACAGATGGTGCTTTTTTTTTTTTTTTTTTGGTAAAATTCGCAAAGAAAAAACTTACTTAAGGAAAAAGTAAAAAAAAAAAAAAAAAAAAAAACTTCAAGGCTTAACTCCTATGGAAACGCAGCGAAGCCACCGGTCTTCAGACAATACGGCGCCATTTTGCAAGGGAGACAAGTGATGGCGCAAGCGGTCGCGACGCCAACTGCCGCCAACGAATGAGCATACGGCGCCGTGAGCTGGCGTCACTAGCAGACGATCCTTTCGACTCGAAAGCGACGCGCGTTCCGCAGCGACGACAGCCGCAGCACCGAAACAGGAGCGGTAACAACAAGGAACTGCAAAGCAGACAGCAAAAGTACAAAAAAAAAGAAATACAGTAAAAATTTTTTGACGAATTATTTTTTTAATTGATTATGTGTCCATTCAATGTGTTTTATTAGTAAGGATGATAAAATAATGCATTGGAAACTGATATGAAAAGAGCTCGGGCCGGCTCTCGGCGCCGTATGTTTGTTCGTTGGCGGCAGTTGGCGTCGCGGCGGCTTGCGCCATCTCCTGTTTCCCTTGCAAAACGGTGCCGTATTGTTTGAAGACCGGTGGCTTTGATGCATTTCCATAGGAGTCAAGCCTTTTTCTTCTTTTACTTTTTCCTCGGGTAAGTTCGCTCTTTGCACATTTTACAAATAAAATGCACCATCTATGGGCAACGCTGCACAAAATCGTAGCGCGATAGGTTAAGAAACCGAATTTCGCGGTCGATTTAAAGAGCCTTACCGCTACTTAAAACACCCGGTAGATAAATAATGCTAATTAAAAAGGCTAAAGACCTGGTTCACATACTCGTGTTTGGTTTCATCCGAGGGCGCTACGCAGGTGTGTGGATGATTGGGATTTTCATAAATAAATATTCAGATGTCAAGCCAAGCTAGTTTCGTGGGCCCCGATTTTGACGAATTTTGAGATTGGTCCCGATTTGCCAAATTTGAAATCCCAAACAGACTCTTGGCAACAGTGAAGTCCGAAGCTAGCTCTAATTCTTGAAGGTGAGCGGTAGCGAATGAGTACAATTTTGACGGGAGTTTATTTATTCGTCTTTAATGCTACACAAAGAGCTCGTTGCATTCCAAGTGTATCTCTAAGAGATATATTCAACACAAAAAGTTAACATAGACTAAAACAATTACCAAAAAAAAATTTTTTTTTTTTTTTAGCATTTAACATTAGAAGAAGTGCTTTTAAGACATAACAGAACTTTGAGACTGCAGGAAGCAGAAGAAAACAACATCCGCACACAAAGTCTATAACGAAACTGAAAATGTATTTCACTTGAATTAAATAAAAAAAAATGAAAACAAAAAGCCACAAGGCGATAGAAGAACATCCCAAAAGAAAGAAGGAAAACAATCACTCTCTTTCCACACCAGCACTCCTACAGCTAGACACTAGCTGGTACTGCTATCCCATTTAAACACTTTTCTAGTGAAATACATTGTCAGCAGTATAGTAAAGACTTCGTGTGCGTGCTCGTCGTCTTTGCTTTCTGCATCTCGAGGTGTTATTAGGCCTAGTAATCTCCAGCCGCTCATTAGCGCTCTGACGTTCTGCTTATTAATGCTTCTAAAACATCCATGTTCATCTCCGGTAATCAATATTTCTTATATTGACCGCTTATACTAGGAACTTCGTTCTTCTCTGTGAAATGTACGTAGAATACTCCGTACCCTACATACTGTTCAGGAGTATCTCGCAGAATCTCAAGCCTTCGTCTCTTTCACAAAACCTTCCACCACAACTCTGCGTTCAGAAATTGGCTAATAAATCCTTTATCATTTGTTTCTGCACGTCTCGATCGTCGTCCTAAGGTTGCCATCTCAATTTGTCGTTACAGCACATTTTACACACCATTCATTCCTACAGTATCAAACGACTTAAATCATCTACCTACATTCCTTGCATCCACTGTCGGTTCCGCTCTTTTTTGTACTAAGCTAAGCAATCATGTATTTTATTTTGCTTAACTATTGTTTATTGGCTTTCACAGTTTAACTAATGCATATTTTGTTCCTATTGTTTTAAACATTTGCACGTTTCCCTGTTTATATATATATATATATATATAACACTTCCGTCTCTAATGCTTTTCGCCCTGACAGTAAAATAAACGACTAAGTACATAAATGTACACCCCTAAAAGTTAAACGGCAACATAACGAGACAGTTCGTGGATAGTTTACCGTAATTTATATTTTGCGTAAAACAGAAGCTGGCGTAACCCCTTCAAGGATGCGCTTGGAAAAGTTAACATTTTGAATGTGAAACGTTTGGAGGTAGCAGTATCCCGACGGTATTTTTTCACTTCTAGAAATTTCGAAACGTACTCACTTCGGCCACATATTCCTCAACGTCCTTCAACTCGTCCTTGAACACAAACATCTGCAACATGCATCAAAAAAAAAAAAAAAAAAATCATAATCAAAGTTAAAATATGCAAGAGTAATAGTTATACTTTTGTCACTCTGTCATAGTTACAAACTTATTAAAAATGAACACCAGTCACGTGACTACCCATACGCTAACTTTGGCGGGCGACGTCTTGCCCCCTAGACTTGTCGGATATCGTTTGCTTGGTCTGTCTCAAACTTCGGTGGTCATCGCAACTGTGTTACCGCCACAGCAGGGCTTCCTCGCGTTGGACGCCTCACTCTCATTGGCTGGCGACCATGTGACCACAGCGACAAGCAATGGCGTTTTCCTTGGGAGTCGTTCTATGTGCCTCGGTGCGTAAACCCGAAATTATACGAGCCTGGCCATGCTGACAAAGACTGATAAGCACAGAATGTGTGATAGGCATTTCTAAAAAGAAGAGAAGGGCGTCTGAACATCACCGCCTACCGAAGATTGGCTCTCATTTCTGACACACGCCGTGAGATGGTGCAACATAACGGGTACCTTAGTCTTCACGCTATAGAGTTCGTCTTTGCGGGTTCTGACCACTGACCCTAGAGCTCAGTCGGCGTTCAAATCCTACCGGGTACCGAAGTCTTTTTTTTTTTTATCTGGTTCCCAATGGGTGTAACACTTTCCCTTGTCTGTTCTTCGTTACAGCCGGTTGTTACACTTGTCCGTTACAGCCAATTAAACGTTACAGGACTCTATAGAAATCGACTGATAAAACACATTCTGTGTTGAAACGTGTTCCACGTGTGACGATTTTGTGAGGCTAGGCTATAGGCCTCCACGTCATTTACAAACAAGCGCACGTTTGTCCGGTGTGGGAACCGCGCGTGAGCAGAAACCAGAATTGCGTGGGATGAAGCATCTGCGCATGCGCCGTGCCGACACCAGCGCAACCGCAGCAGCGTGACGTCACACCCCCGCGTTGGTGTATGAAACAGTGCGACATGTTTATTTTTTTTTTCTGTAATCCCACATCAAAATATATTTTTGTATGTGTGTGTGCCGACTTACATCTTGTTCCACTTGCCGTATTTCCGGCCTCGTCCAGTTACGTTTCGGGTCCTGTTTGAAACGAAGCATAAAACAACGGAACAATTATAAAATGGAGGAACTCGATTGGATCCTGCTTCTGTAGTCACTGAGAGCAATGAAGAAAGGCGGGGCCCAGAGCATTTTATTATCTCTACACAGTCGACGAGATTGCGACATCAGCCGATCAAATCGTCAAAGAACCAATCACGAAGCGAAACGAGCCGGAAAAATCGGCGCACGCACATAGAAAACCCTCATACTTTCACCGAAAATGCACTGAGCAGGTCAGTCTCACCGCGTGAATTTTTAAGGCGCAGTTATCTTTCAGCAAAAAAGAAATAAAAAAAAAAAGAAAGAGCAAATATATTTAAGATGGGCGCGTTCGCAGACGACCAAGTTTGCGACGCTTTTTACTCGTGGCGCCATCTCCGGGCAGGCGCCGCGAAAAGACGACGCACTCTGTTAGCTCGCTGTGCCTACCGGAAGATGGCGCCACAACTTAATGGCATGGGTAAATCGCTCGTCTGCGAACGCGGACTTCGGCAAGATTTTTGCTCTAATTGTTTTTTTACAAAAAGAGAACTACGATTTGAAATTTCACACGGTAAGACCGACCTGCTCAGTGCACATTTGGTGAAAGTTTGAGCTTTCCATGTGCAGACGCTGATTTTTCCGGGTCGTTTTACAGCAAAAGGTGCGCTTGGGACACCCCCCATATGAGCGTCGCAATATTCGTCGCGGTCAATGTGTTCCCTAGTAAGTTCCTAAGACAAAAAAACTCTTGGACTCTCTGGCTTTGTTAGTCAAGTCGATTAAGTGGTTCTAAAGAATTTAATGATTCAAAAATAAAAAAAAAGCGTTTGAATTATTTTTATAGAAAACCATCATATGTGCGATGCAAAATACTATATACAAAACAGTTTTACAATTATTAGTGTTCTGATAATTAAAAAAAATAAAGATTTGTTAAAGTGTGTACAATTCGCATCTCGAGGCCAGAAAACCATGAGAGCGCTGACATAACCAGCCGGCATATAGGTAGAAAGCTTCTGGAGGCGACATGATGCCAGCAAACATGAAGCCCGGGAAGGGGGGGGGGGGGGGGGGGGGGAGAAAGAGAGAGAGAGAGAGATTTTTGATTCGGTGGGACACTCCTCCGACGGTGACCAAAAACGAACGGGACAAAAAGACGCTTTTGGACGGACAGGAGAGGTCATTTGGCGCCAAGAGCTGTTTTGGTCACCCTCGGGGGCGTTCCCACAGACCGCGACCCTCAACTTCCCGACCTCCCTTTAGATTTTTTTGTTTGGCTGGCTTGAGCCGGTATGTCGCCTCGTCTACTTCCTATCTCCCTGCCAGCCGGTGACGCGGCACATTTTAAAACATGGCCGCCTCGCTTGGTATGCGGTGTACGGTGCCTGGACCAACTCGTACTCCCCCAGACAGCATATTGCTGTCTGGCACAAGGCGTCCCTCGTGCCAGACAGCAATATGCACCTTGAGCACTAACGGTGAGTGGATGAGCTATCGATAGACCCCTTTTGAAATTCACGTGCCGAATGTTAGAAGGTCGGAACTACTGCAAAATGGCGGAACAACTGCAACGAGGAACGTGCAAGTCATTCGATTAGATAGCGAGTGTCGGAGCGCGGCCAACATTACGAGCCGACGAGCTAATCAGATGGCGTCGAAAGTACAACGTCACTGCGCTCATCTCCTTTTTTTGTTGGTGTGTTTTTTCCAGTGCGCCGTGACGGTGAGGTTTAAATTCGCCATTGTGCAGGGATTCTACAGCTGCCAAGAGAGCGCAGTATTTTAAAAGGGGTCTGTACAGACTTTTTGTTTTTCTCTTTTTGCCACATTAGATCAGTTGTAGATGTTACGTAGTTTAAGATCGAAGGAACTTACACTTAGCATATCTACGATTTTGTCCGCCTTGCGAGTCATCTTATCCACCTGAAGAAAGAGGGAAAGGCCAAGTTATATGCGTAATTATATGCTAATTGTCACGTCGTTATTACGAGATTTGGTTGTCGGAGGAAGAAAGAATGCTTTTGGCGTTCGAAACGCGTACATCTTGATAAAATAACATGAAGATAATCTAAGATACACCCACTGATATCTCAATTCAACACATTAAGTTCGTAAAGTCTGATGTCACGTGACCTGGCGTCACGGGAACTAAACTGATATTTAGTTTCCCAGCTAAATTTATTCGGTCACGTGACATCAAAATTTCCGCCAAGTTTAGCGGGGAACCTGAATTGGGTGTATAGGTCGCGGGACGTCAGGTCACGGCCTCTCACATTTCACCTCCCTTCCCCAATCCGATTTGCTGCGGGGCGCTAATGAGATGCACGAGGCTTGGGTACGCACTGGATGGATGGATGGATATTAATGGCTATACCGTTTGTAACGGGCGGTAGCTAGCGCCACCTAGCCAAGTTCAAAAAGACAGACATACATGATTTCTTCCGCCCTTCTAAGCCAATTTTCTGCCCCTAACTTTCACTAGGCAGTTTTTTAGGCTGTCGATGACCATCAGCGCCGATATGTTTTGGTGGCGCCCTCTCCTGGTTTCCACTCCTGACGTCACAACCAGGATTGGCCTCGGCGTGATTGGTAGGATTTGCCTCTGCCTCGCCGTGATTGTCAGGATTTGCCTCGCCATGAATCGGCTATTGGGTTAGCATTATCAGTATACACAGAAAACTGTGCGGAATGTAAGTTCGTCTGCTTCTTTTGCAGGGGTTGTGGTGAAGTCAGAGTGCCGAGCTCTGATTGGTACTGATTGAAGGATAGTAGGTAGATCTCAAGGCAGCTTGCTCTGAGGTGTACCGACTGTCCTAGAATCAAAGACGATCATAACTCAACGTCGTTCAGACGTAAACGCAACCCCTGGGCAAGAAGCAGACGACTTGCTTTCCGCGCAAAGTTTGGCAAATCGCGAACTTCGTCCACAGCAACGCTTTGAAGTCGCACACGTCCTAATGGTCTTTTAATTTATTTTTATCCTGCTTACCTTTTGTATGTATTCAGGCGTTTTGGTGTACTCTGGCATCTTTTTCTCCGCCTAAGCGACGACAGTAAAAAACACAAAGAAACGTACATAATTAATGTATTGCGTAATGGATCAAGAATAGTTCGGGTTTAATTCCGAGGAGCAGTACCAAGCATTAAAGCCGTTAAAACGGAGCAGGCTGCTGTTATCGCAATAGATCCCTTTTCAAAAGTCCATCGAGCAGCGTTGGCACGGTTGCCATTTCTGGGCGTGTGATTGGGTCTGAGTTCACACCGAACTCTAACGCTGACCGCTCGTGTCCATTGGGAGGACGCGCCCAGACAGTGACGCACTCGGATAATTGGCACAGCTGCTACTAGATGGCGCCCCAATAGTGAAAATGGTTAGAAAATGGGTCTATTAAAGGGGTACGGAAACGAAATGTTTGCACTTATTAGTATCTTTTTTTAGATGTGGTCTATGTTGTGTGTAGGCAGCCCGGAAAACACTAGCCTAGACTTGTTTCAGGGCTGCCGGCAGAAAAACCAAGAAAACTAATTTTCAAACGAATCAATAGATTTCAAGATGGCGCCTGTTGGCAGTTTGTGAAGTTCCGTTGGAATGCCGCCACGTCATTGGCCTCTAGGAAACAGCGTCACTTCGCGGCAGGATGGCTCGCTCGTGGAGTTACTTAGTCCTGAATGTCAATTGGTGGAGAGCGCTAACGAGTTTACTACGGGGTATATGTTAATGCTTCCACAGTGCTTCCGCAAAGTGCATTCCACACCATCAAGATCGCCGTTCTGTGCAGACGTTAGGTAGCAGCTTGGTTTGAGGAGGCGGGACCCTCTGAAATAAATGCTACAGATTTCCACCCTGTCTTTTTTTTTAGAGGTGTTTGGCTCAGGTGGACGGGGGCTCATAAAGAAATTTATTCTTTCTCTTTTATTTTTGATCCAGATAACGTCATGTTCTCAAAATTTATTGTTCTATCACCACCACTGGCTTTACGTCCTCAAGGAGATGCAGTGCGTAGTTTTGCGATGCGTAGCTCATTTAATGTAAATAATAATAATAACAATAAAAACACACGTTGTTGTTGTGTCTTTCTTCGTCCGAACTCTTGGTATATTTATTAAGACGCGTCTGAACAAATCAAAGTCAGCTCTAAAAGTGCCAGTTTCAATGATGCTCAAATTATTACAAACCTCACAAATAAAGTGTACCGAACTAAGGCTTTGAAGGTACATTAGATGTATAGTGTTACGCATATTTTAAATATCTCGAATACACACGAATTTTGATAGGCACGGGTAAGCTGATGCATTCAATATGACAATAAAAGCGTTGATATGAGAAAAAAAAAGATAGTATATTTACTCCTTGAAAGTAAACGGTGTTTCAGCCAGACTTATACTTAACGCGTTAGTTGTACTTTACTATTTTTGGGGGGTAATAAAGTATCGACCTGGTTACTTTTTAAAAAATTGGACGACCAGCCTCTTTTCGTTACTTTTTGATGAATTAACGAGCGACGGTATTCAGTTACTTCTGGGTGGGAACATGCAAATACAACGCAAGTAGTCACCCTAGAGTTCTTGCCTACACTCTCGCCTGTAATTTTCACGATGAGAGAACGTTAGATAGACCACAAAAAAAAAAAAAAAACAACAACAACATGTGCACAAGGTATGTCAGTGTTGTCGCAGTTATACCCCGAATGAACGCGTTAAAAAGCGAGGAATCATTAACGACGACAAATATTGGAAGCGGCTACGACTTCTGAAAACGACATATTAAGATCGACGAGAAAATATTGCGTTACTTTCAAACTCATGAAACGCGTTCCTTCGGAATCGCAGTAACGAGTAAAACGCACTTGGTTGTTTTTTGAGGTGAGTAGGGAATACCGGTATTTAGTTCCTTTACTTTCGGTTTCGTGCATACATGCCTGGTTTCAACTAACCTGTGTGTGAACTTCAAAAAAAAAAAAAAAAAGCTGGTTTAATGTTACTTGTGTCGAACCAATGCAGTATTCTTCACAATCTTATTGAGGAAGTAAATGTATATGGTGTCTGAACTGCTGAGGCTCGATCTAAAATTGGCCTTAAAATCGGCGCCTGAACGTAGCAATCTAAATCTTTCGTCGAAGGTGTATTTTACAGGTAGGATTTACCTTGTTAAAAAATATTGGGCCAAAGCTCTTGCCAGTGTAAACGGTGGACGGCGACGCAGAGTCCGAGTCGACTGGCGCACGTATTGATAGATCGCGCTACCCCCTTATTCCGGCTTGCTCTTAAAAAATAAAGAGACTGCCGTCGATCTATTAAGATGAACATAATATTTTTGCAGTGCACCTTCGGTTTAAAAATAAATGCGGACAATAATAGCAAAACTTGAAGCAAAAAAAAAAAAAACATTTCTGAGGACGCTAAAGCACTTTTTATGAGTTGTGAATTCGAAAGCATGAATGTCGTTCTTCCTCTCCCTTAGTTCGTCTGCTGCGTAATGGCGCGGATGGCCACGTTTCACTACAGTGTACTAGAATACGGAGTAGTGTTGGGCGTCTCGTGTGACGCGTGGGGTGTAGATCGCGATAGGTGTCGACACCGGGGCATCGGCAGTAGGATCAGTATGATACGTAATACTTGTGCGCGTGCACCCTGTGCACGCGCACATGTGGTGGTACGTGCAGACTGCAGCGATTTTCTGCTGTCCTGTCGACTGCAGCGCCGCGAGTGTTGTCTACACGCGCGGCCTCACAAGTTATGTGAGGCCGCGCGTTAAGTTATGTGACGAGCAAAGCATCCAGGCCGTGCAGGAAAGCCGGTGCTACGGCCAGCCGCCGAGGCTGAATGCGCGCCATCTATCAATACTTGCGCCAAACCCGCCCCTCCACTCAACTCGGTCGTCTGCGTCGCCCTCCGCTGCTGACCCTTGCAAGCTTTTTGCCCCTGTTTTTTAATAGAAAGAGAGCCACGCCTTATAATTTTTCAAGGTAAAACCCCTTTTGAAATACACCTTTGACGAAGAGTTTAAATTGCTACGTGCAAGCGCCGATCTTTACAGCGGAGCTTTTAAGGGCTAGGTTCCCCAGGATCGTGTCCGGTATCTCGACACAAACCTGCCTGGACAGCTACCGCCATCTATAAGCGACGGCGGCAAACACACAACCAGTATGGTTTCCGCCGTCGCTCGTAGATGGCGCCAACCTTTCCAGCTATAATAGAAGAATGGATAGCTGGGCGCGTTGGTGGGAATTCATCGTAGGAAACGGCGCGAAAAACAGACGACGACGAATAAGAAGCACACAGTGTATCGAGTACAGCTCCGCTAGTCTTCCTTCTTCACGAGAGTAAAAAGGCTGAACGATTTTTGCGGCTCATTTTAGATCGAGGCTCGGCCTTTCAGACATCCTGTATTTTTGCGATGTATTAAACTGGCTAATTAACGCAGATTAATTACCAATTTGTTAAATATAAATTTGTACGTGAAACTTCAAATATAAACGTCGTGGAGCGTGATTGAAAACATCTCAGCGTGTCATTTTCGGCAAGCTACATATCCTTCGTGTTCCATTTTTTTTTTTCGAGCTTAAACGAAAGCGTGCGAGATTAAGAGAAAAAATCCACGCGACTAGTTGCGCTTACATCGCAGACCGCTAACGATTAGTCACATGATTTTTTCTAAAACTGGCACACTTTCGGTAAAGCTAGAAAACGTTAGACCCGTAAAGTTTACCTTGATGGAAACGACACGACGCGACGTTTCTAAGCACTGCAACTTTGTGTTCGAATGTTTGCGCACAAATTATCATTTATAAAGCAAGCCAATTAGCCCGCGTTAATGAGCTCGTTTGTCGCATCGATAAAGTATATCTCGACTTCCCCAATTAGGACTGGGAACAATATACTGCGTACGATTCGACGAGTGCGGCGTACTCCAACTTTTTTATTTTAAATTTTTTTTTATTCAGAAGTTAGCCAAAACACTCTGTGCAAACAGCCTTAACGGTTAACGATTCTAGCATAATTAGAGTGGACTATTCGCGTAAGGTGTGTCTGCCGCGGCGTATTCAAAACACATAAGACGATACACACTTACGTATTTAAGGTACGTCCAGGCATCTGCCAGGGTGTCGCGAAGCTTTTCCATCTGAAAAAAAAGTAAAAAAAGAAAAGAAAAAGGAGCAAGCATCTTTTGGTATTACATTTTTTTTTGCTATGAGGCGTACGCGCATGCGCAGTGTAGACAGCAGCGCCACCACAGTGGCATGACGTCAAAGTATTGAGTTGGTGTATAGTCGGTACTGGCTTCTCGATAGCGCTGTGGTGAAACAGTAACACTTTCGTAAAAAAAGAAATAGAAAACAAAGGTGTGTCTCACATCTTTTTTCTTGTCGGCAACGCTGGCTTTTTTAGGATCGCAGAACTTCAACTGCAACAGAAATAAAGCCTGGTTAGTGCCGTCGAAGAACATAGAAAAGTGAAAAGAAGAATACTTAAATGTAACCATTTTCGACGGACATCCGTCTGGTTAGGAATGGTTAATAAATCTTCAACTTAGAAACTCTAACCAAGCTTTATTAAAAAGCAAAAATCCCGACGTTTCGGAACCAACTCGGTCCCTTGATCACGGGTGACTGTTTTTGTCCCTAGGAACGGCCTGGCCACGAACCCGAACACCCCCGGGTGTTTTCCGGATTATCCCTCTTAACCCCGAAACGTAGCTGCTGGGAAGGGTCCCCGTCGACCGGTTTATGTTGCCACGTGTGCATTGAATGTGCCACGACTCCAACAGGAGGCGCCTCCGCCAGTTTTTCTCCGTTCCGAGGATGGAGCTGTTGTCAAGGTCGATGGAGTGGTTCGTCTTCTCGACGTGTTCGGCCAGCGCGCTTCCCTCCACATTTTTCTTCGCGATGTCGTAGCGGTGGCGCCGCAGGCGCTCTGGATAGTTTTTCGTTTCCCCAACGTACGACGCGGGGCAGTCACCGCAGGGAATTTTATAAACCAGTCCCTGTGCCCTCTCCCTCGGGGGGCGATCCTTTGGCAGGGGGAGAAGGCCGCCGATGGTCGAGACTGGCTTGTGTGATACCGCTATGCCGTACTGTCGCAGTACTCGGGCGAGAACCTCGCTTGTGCCCTTGATGTAGGGTACACACACGCGGGTGGAGGGAGGGGGGGCGTCTTGGATTGAAGGGGTGCGTCGAATTTTTTTGATCGTGCTTTTTACAAATCCAGCTGGGTAGCCATTCTTCCGCAGGTCTCGTTTTATCGTTTCGATCTCTTTTCGAAGGGCGATCACGGTCTGCACATCAGAGGAGACCCTTCGAAAAGAGATCGAAACGATAAAACAAGACCTGCGGAAGAATGGCTACCCAGCTGGATTTGTAAAAAGCACGATAAAAAAAATTCGATACAGCGCCAAATCCTACAGCGCCAAATCCTCCCCTGGCGGTGTCGGCGTCTCACGACCTAGCGAAAGCATCCACAGCGCGCTGTCCGTGTTCGGAAGCAGAGCGTTATCGCCGGCGTACCGAGACACCGGGTTCGCCGAGATAACGGAAACGGCTGTCTCGACGGGTGCTGTAGAGAAATCCCCGACAATAGATGGCGCGGGCCACCCCTTCCAATAGGCCCTTTTTCTAAATGTTCGCGCCAACGCGTGTCCGTCATTGCTTGATCACGTGCTTTGAGCACGTGTTGGACACGAGGGTTGCGTCAACTTTCAGCGCGAACTCGGCTGCAGCTCGCATCGAAAACGAGTGTGGCGTCAGAGTTCGGCGATGACTCGGATCCAATCACGCGCTTCGTGTCCAAGCAATGGCGAGACCGCCAATGTTGCTCGATGAACTATTGAAAAGTGCTTATTCAAAGAGAAAAGCGCCGAGAATGCGGTGCGTCCGGCCGTTGGAACTACGCAAAACCTATCTGCGCCATGGTCATTGGATTTTCACAGAGCGAGGTATATTTCCCCCGTAAAGTCTTTGAAGACAGCTCTGTTTTTGTTTTCGATTTGCTAAGAATATCGTTTTACGATGCGTTCTTGAGCTGGGTGAATACCTGATTTACAACTGTCGTGAAATCCAGATAGTCGTGATTTTGCGCGTGATGAATTTCGTTCGCGAAATTACTTGGACTTGCGCACTTTCCTGTCACGCGCTGTCGAGGCGCTCGGCCAGAGAAACAGAGAATGATAAAGTGGGAAGTAAGATCAAGTTCTCCATTACTGGTGAATGCTGGTCACCCTAATACATATCGCTAATTTTGTTTTTTCTTAAAACTGATAAATTTTTTCTTTCCGTGGCCAACATGGTTTTTGGCGCGGCCTCTTAATTGCGTAGAAATTAATAGAAACGACGCACGACATTACTAAGGTACTGGACCGACAGGGGCGAGTTTTCGTTATCTTCATTGATTATTCGAAAGCGTTCGACCGGATGTCTCATCCTAAACTTCCGCTAAAACTTGCGCGCATCCTAGATAACGCGAAGATCACCTCTTGGCTTGAAGATGATTTAAGTACTTGTCGGTTTTTCGTCTAGCTGGCCGGAGCTTATTCTGATCCAGCAGATTTTTTGCCAGGTGTCCCCCATGGCTCCACGCCTTGAGACCACTTTTATTTCTCATATTTATTAATGACGTTGAAAAGTGTGTTGGCGTTGACATGCACTTTTATGCAGACGATTGCACCTTCGTTGGCAAGGTTAAAAACATTAACGATCAATGATTACTTAACTGCGCTCTGGAAAGGCTGTCAGAGTGGTGCATGACTTGGCAATTGCCCCTCAATGTTGGAAGTGTGTAATGACATTCTCTAGGAAACCTTTGCCGCCCAGTTTCTCCTATCGTATTAATAACAACCCTTTGCAAAGTGTCTCCGCGTACAAATATTTAGGTGTGATTTTTCGACTGATTTGAAGTGGTATTCATGTTGACTTTGTTGTTCGTAAAGTATATGGTAAACTTTGGTACTTAAAGCGCAATCTAAAAAACTCCTCGTTTGGAAACTCATTGCACACAAAACCTTCGTTAGGCCTGTCCTTGATTATGCCTCTCAGGTTTGGGACCCTTGTACGGCATTAAACATTGACAAATTAGAAAAAAGTGCAACGATTCGCTTTACGATTTATATACAACCAGTATAAAAGAAACGAATCTGTTACGCCACTCTATGAGATGGCTCAGGTTGAGTTTTTATCCACTCGGCGTCGCAGAGCAAAGGCTCAAATACTTATACTCCTTGCTAAGAGGTGATTTTAACATTGACGCGTCAAGGTATTTAACTCCCCGAGTGGTTTGTGCTACGCGTAAACTGGGTGTAGGTTCTGTAGCTTTGTCATTGTAATTCTTAACAAATTTTATTTTTTTTCCCACGAAGTACTGAAGAGTGGAATAGCCTTACTCAAGTGCATGTTAATTCGTCATCAGCCGAGATATTTTTAAGTGTACTGAAGAGTTGTTCGTGAAACGTTATTATTTTTGCGTTTTTATTGTAGTGTTTTGCTTTTATTGTTGCATTTCCAAGCGTATTCTTGTTGAGTTCCTAACATGTATTTCGTCTATGTAATAAGTTCTTGAGCATGAACTAGTTGTTACGCCTTCTGCCACTACCTCCAAAAGGAAGTTAGCAGTGTATAGATAAAAATGAAAACCCAAAAGGCCCCAGAGGAGACAGAACTTTGCTCCGGACGCCAGGCCAAGAGATGGCGCTACCAGATGCGGTGATACTCACTAGGTGGCGCAAGAAGTCACCCGATTTAAAGGGTTTGTCTGTATGTATCCATTCATCTCCATCAATAACCTAGAGACTTTGGGGTGCTTGTATTCAGTGGAGGTATATTTGTCTTGCTTTACCTTCCACCCCAATTAATTGGGGTGTGCCCAGCATAGCCAGTAATCTGTCTTATACGACAGATTACTGGCTATGCTGGGCACACCGCCCGAACAGAAGGACTTCTTACGCAGCAAGTTGTTGTCTCTCAAGCTAACGCCATCTGTCGTAGTGGTGTCCCCCAAATAGTTCCGTCTTACGCGAATGAGTCGAGTATCCACGATTTCCCATTGTAAGTATCTGATGAGGTAAAGGGACCAAAGTGTTGAATATGCCACTCCTGGAGTATGACGTCACAGGACTAAACCTGTAAAGAAAAGACACTTAGGCCTAATCTCGATGTCGATGAGTGCGACCACCTAATCGTTCAGTCACTGTTGGAGTGATGTGTGTTATGTTAAATCGGCGCACTTACTTAGGCTGGGTGAAAACGCGAAATAAGAGCTTGATGAGAAATGTTTTATATAGTATTTTTTTAAATTTAATCATAGAACAACCCTTTAAAACTCAAGGCTACAGAAAGCAATCTTCCTTTCATCTGTATAGGAGAACAAATCACAAGGCAGTTGGACCTTATCAAAGTAAAAATAATGTATTTAACTACTCTTTATTTCCGCGTGCAATAGAGGAGTGGAACAAGCTACAGGAGTCTGTCAAGTCGTCTGTGGAGGGCCTCACTTCACCACATTAAATGCGCACTGTTACCACCATGCGCGCCTGGCGAGCTCGTTGATCCCCTGCACTTGTTGTATAATTTTTAACAGTCAGTGTGATGCAACTTTTAACCCGATGAAAAATAGATGTATGGTAGATGTTTTTGTGTGTCTTATGTACGTATCTCCACACCTGTCTGGATCTTGAATGATTGATAGTGTTACTAAATAAATAAACACATAACTAAATATAATTAAGAATAGGTGAGCGTCCCTTCAATGTATGCGACAATTATTGTCACCAACACGAAGAAATAACCACGACAAAGTCACCGGGGCAAATGTTCGCCGTATGCGGCGTGGCAAACGATGCATGGGGTAACTTTGCGAAGCAATCACGGGTCACGATCGAAGTGTTATGGTTGTTTCTGTCGTTTTAGCCGGGAACGCAACCGTTGCATATGTTTTGAACCTGCAGAAAACTGTTTTAGCAAAATGATTTCTTATTTTAATCCTAAAGAGAAAAATATATTTGCCATTAGAATGCATCTGCTCAAATTATGTGAGCACGTGTATTTTTCTGGATTAATTATCTTACCGCTTTGATGAATTCCGTCATGTCGTCCACATCTACTCCTTGCTTCCTCAACTGCAAAAAAAAAAAAAAAGAAATAATGATGGTGATGATGATAATGCAGCAGCTGCTGCTGCTGCTGATGATAACTTATTGGTGCATGTTAAGAGTCGAAAAGGTTTTACGGGTCCGTGAAAGCCTCTAATTGCTTGTGGGACTTTTACCCCGCCATTGCATTAAGTAACCCTAATGAAAAAAGCCATTTTGTATGAGAAATTTCTTGTGTCCAATAAACAGATATGAATCATGCAAAATGTATAAGAACACATAAAACCATGTAAGAACTATATAATATATATAGGAACATATAAGAACCACATATAGAAACTCAAAAGAAACTTCTCACGAGTTTTTATATGGTTCTTATATGTTCTTATATATCTTATATAGTTCTTATTATGGTTCTTGCGTGTTCTTATATATCTTGTATGATTCATATATGATTATTGGACACAGAAATTTCTCATACGAATGAGATTTTTCAATAGGGAAGCATAATATGATTACAAATAGGGATGACATTGACAAGGAACAGTGGGTTTGGAAAATGAAGAAGCCGCGCAAAATATCTGAATTACACAAGAGAAACGTGCGAACCCCACACAACACACCAGAGAGAAAGAAGAAAACAACACAAGTGCACAAAAATCATAAAAAAAGAGAACCTTAAAAAGCGCACGATGTTACAAACGGTACTATAGTCAAATTTAATTGCGGAAGTAAAAGCTCGTTTGTGTTGCTGACAGAAAGTACGAGTAGGCAAAGCACAACTTAGCATAGCAGAAAACTTGCTGTAACCGCTGTACGCACGACACACGTAAGATGCAAACATATACACCGAACAAACATTCATAGCAGAAGAACGTCAGTAAGAGTTCATAAAGCAAAGAGGTTTAGAACAATGTTTGCAAGCTCTCTTTCAGCTGTCGTTTGGAGTCCAGCCCAAGAAACGGCTCTGGTAGTATATTAAAAATATCAGGAACATAAAAGGGCCGCATTCTTTTTTCATATATGGTATACACTCGAGGTACTGAAAAACTCTCGCCGTTTTTTAGCGAGCGCTGAACCATGCAATCGGTTTTAAAAAAGCTAACCCAATAGTGTTTCGTTATCGCACCTATTTCAAAAAGGGTAGAAAAACCATCGTTTGGTGCATTATCGGTGGTGTACGCAACTCCACGTAAAATTCCTTTTAGTATATTGTCAATTCTAGTTTGCCACATTTGCGAACAATGTGCGCGTACAGTGAATTCATAACGCGGTACACAATATGCCAAGGCATTGACAACCATTCTTCGTACTGAGAAAGGCGGAAGCGTTTTCGTGGACTACAAAAGGCAGGATGCACTACGCAGTTGTTTAGCAATGTACGTAGGGTGGGATTTCCAAGCTAGATCACTAACAGAAAGTATACTTTAGTATTTGATTACATTAACATACTGAATGGCTGTACAACAACAATCACCACAATTCGACGAAGCGAAAATGGAATATCCAGACATTTATTTTTCAAAGGATTACTGAAACATACAAAGTTTGTGTTCTTTGTGTTACTTTTGATGAGATTCGAATAAACCAGTTCAATACATTGGTACCTGTAGATTGCAAAGAAATCACTGCGCTGTGCAAGTTTATGTGATGTAGCACTAATAGGGTATCATCAGAGTACTGATATAACTCACATCTAGAACATATTTTCGCAATATCATTTACACGCATATTAAATAAAAGTGACGACTACCCAGAACCCCGAGTAACTCCGGCCTTCAAATTCACTGCAGCACTTCGGGTATTACAAATGGAAACTTGTTGCGTACAACTTAATAATAAAAAAAAAAACAAAAAAAACTTTTAATTGACCTTGAAAAGGGGCCTCGAAAACCGTAGGCGAATATTTTCGTCAACAATATTTTATGCGAGATAAGAGTCAAACGTTGCCACATCTAAGAACAGTGCGCATGCCAATTTTTTGTTCTCCAAAGAGAAATTCAACGTGACTACAAGTCCTTCAAGTAAACAATCGGAGCCACGCCCCGCGATAAACCCATACTGAAACGAAAACAAAAGATCAAGCCTATCAAGAAAGGAGGTCATTGTTCTTAGGATGTATCTTTCCAGAATCAGGGCTAAGCATGGGAGAATGGAAATTGGCCTATAACTTTCAACTATATTACGCTTTCCACCTTTGTAGAGTGATTCGATCATGACGCTTTTCGGGCCATAAGGAATAACCCCTTGTCCTTACAATTTACCTTTATAAGAATGGTTAACGCAATTTGAACTATGTATTAACGCCAAATAATGATTGGTGTCTAAAAGCAGTTGATCAACTGGCTATAGATTGGAATCGTCGTTTAGACGTCATCCGATCGACCTTCGTAGCTTTTTCGGCACCGTCAACTTCTCGCCATTGTATAGGCTTTGGCCAGTGTATAGCTATCCTGTTGCCATGCTAACACCAATTGGCTATTGTAAGCGATCGAAAGGTTATGAAATTTATAGTATTTTTATCTCCTCCAACAGCCGATTGACGTTACTACGGCACCAGGATAGCGATACATTGGCGGTGGCCTATAGAATGGCGAAGCGTTGACGGTGGCAAAAAAGCTACGAAGGTTGAACGGATGACGACTAAACGACGATTACCATCTATATAGCCAGATGATGAACTGCTTATAGACACCAACCACCATATGGTGATAATACTTCAAATAGCGTTAACCATTTTTATAGGGGAAGTCGCACAAATGGATGCCATCCGCCCCTGGCGCCTTGTTCAGCTTGAAACTGCGTAGCAACATACGAAGATCTTCGAGAGACATATCAGGTAGAAACGCCGAGTGCTCAGAGAGATGTTCAAGATTAGTGGGAATGACACTCTCATCACGTGAAATGCCCGAGACCGAAGCAAAAATCGATTGAAGCTTCCGGCAATTGATTTCGAATCAGACCCAATTTTTTTTTAGGATAACGTCATCGAGGGATGGCTTGGAAGCAGATCCCTTCACATCATGTATTAGAGCCCGTGTTTTCGACATATCAAAACGTGACTTATGAAATGATTCCTGGATGTGTTGGCGCGTCTTACACCGAACAAGTGAATTGACGCAATTTCGTTTACTTTGATATTCTACTTTTAACTCTTTATCTTTTTGGTGTTGACGAAATTGCGTCCACAAGATATCTTTTACTTTAATGGGTGAAAGAACATCCGCCGTAAGTTAGTAATAATAATAATATTAATAATGACGATAATGATAATAATCATAATAATGCCGTTGATGATGATATGAATGATGATAATAATAATGATAATAATAATGATCATTTCATTATTTTGCTTATTATAAGGTCAAATGACTGACGTCACAAGACGTCAACGCATGACATTACATGACGTCAATGCTTCTCTTTACGTCAGTGTGTCAGGATAACGTCATGTGACAGATTTCACGTGACGTCAGGATGTCCCGTAACGTCGCGGCGTCACATCACGTCAGGGTACCGCGTAACGTCATCCTGTCACATTTTATCATGGTGGCACATGACGTCATGATATGACGTGATGTAAGGATGTAACATTGCGTCATGATGTCTCGTGATAGCCCCGATGCTAAGGTAAGAAAATGGGTTCCTTGGGCTTATATACTTTATATTTGGCTCGAAACATCGGTTTTTTTCATCTAATTCGCCTGGTAAAACACATTCTGTGTTAAACAGGAACAGACAGTGATGCTTGTCTTCTAGGGGGTATTGGTAGAATGCGATTTTTGGAATGTTCTTAGAGGTGGGATCAAAAAGTTACGGGACTGATTTTGTCACGTAAAGAGAGAGGGCAGCACAGTAAGGCGCGCGCAGCAGTCGAAGGAGGGAACCTTCGTGCCTCGTTACACCACAGGGCGTCGCTCTGTGCACATCTGGAGCTGCGCTCTGTTCCGAGGACATGTGTCAGGCTGGGAGTTTGACAGGGGCGGTACATCTGTCAAATGGTAACTAACGTAGGTGTCCTAAGGCGAGCTCAGCGAGGACAGCAACCTCGCGTAGAGAAAAAGGACACGAGTTTTTGTGAACACGTGCACGCGCACAATGGCGATCTCTCCATAGACTGCGAACCGAAGCGAGAGCAAAATCAATTTTACGTCATACCCGGCAAATCGGGAACGGAGACCTCTGAAGTGATTTAGAAGGCTTATGGGTGGAAAAGCAGTGAGGTGTGCGAGGTGTTTTCAGTGACACTCGAGCCTCAAGAATGACAGAACGTCACTGAAGTCAAGGAGAGGTCGAACAAGGTCGCCTCACCGCTTTTCGTCTTTCTGAAGCACGAGTGCTCCTTAAAACACTTTGCAAAATTCGCTGCTTTTTGACACGAGCCTGTTGAATCGTTTCAAAGGTCTCTGTTTTATATTTGCCGAGTTTGACGCACAACTGATGTTCGCTCTCGCTCTGGTTTGCAGTGTATGGTGAAATCGCCATTGTGCCCGTGCACGTGGCCCAGCAAACTCGTGTAGCGCAGCGCCAAATGTTCGCACAGCGACGCCCTATGGTATAACGAGGCAAGAATAAGGTCCCTACCTTTGACTGCTGCGCGCGTATCACCGTGCTGCCTTCTCTTTTTATGGTACAACATCAGTCCCGCAACTCTTCACCACACCTCGTATAGGTGCGCGTGTACCTAGCTTACCACAAATATATGGAGTCTGCGGTGGTCTTGTTTTCTGAACACATACACCGAGTATACAGTAAGATCCCGGTCTGATCTCGCGCCCCATAATTCTAACTTTTTTGTCTCTCCATCGTGGACGGGTGTTCGTTCTGGTTCTCGCGTTAAAACCCTTGAGGAGGAAGTCACATCCGCAAGCAAACGTTTCTTAGGCAAGAAATAATTCTAGTAAAAAAAATAACAATAAAAAATAAGAACTCCAGGAATTTACGTACTTTATTGACGAGTTCTGGGCCCGGTGACGGGTTCTCTTTTGCAGAGGCCACCTTTGAACACAAACAAAAACATGTTATTAACAGAAGGGAAGTTGTAGTCGCAGCAACCCGTTCCTGTACAGTTGTGTACCCCGCGGACAATACGAGCAGAAACACCCGATGTGACCTTTTTTTTTTTTTTTTGCGTCTGCACGGCCCCCGTGCAACAGCTATTACAGTTCAGAGTTCACCACTCAATTTGTCAAATAATCCCAAAGAGGGCCGACCTCAACTTCGCATTACGTTCCTATAGTTCAAATCACAGCTCTCCCAAAACCTAGCAGATACCCCCCCCCCCCCCCAAAAAAAAAAAAAAAAAAAAAAAAAATAAAAAAATAAAAAAATAAAAAAATACAAAGATTTGTTTTAGTATAGCCTTCTCTATACTCACAAAGCCTGGCAGTTCGACGACGGAGCCATAGAGTGTCCGGTCGTAGATTTGGAGCGCAAGGATCTGGTAGGACAGAGCATCAAAGAGCCGTTTCTCGGGGAACCTTGACGTCAGCGCACAGCTTTTGCAGCGGTGAGGTTCCGAAACACACTTGTTCGCTCCGGAGAAGTGTGTTTCGGCGTCTCGCCGCAGCGGGGCGCCAGTCACGTGGCTGTCCTCTCACCCGTTGTCTGCCGCTCCCCCTTTTCCATTTCGGCGGCCGCATCTCGTGACGATCTGCCAGGCTTTGCCAGTATATAGGAGGCTGTTATATTGGACACGGGGGCAGCGCGAGCCTTTCGCCGCGAACTCGGCTCGACTCGGGTTGAAAACGAGTGGCGCGTCAGCGTTCGGCCAGGACTCGGATCCAATCACACGCTTCGTGCCCGAGAAAAAAAAAAATGGCGACCGCCAATGTTGTTTGACGGACTCTGAAAAAGGGACTATTAAAATTCGCCTTCCCGCGGAACACGGAGACAACCGAACACTGCGAAGAATACAATTGGATCCCGGCGAGTGGAAAAAAAAGCTCCAAAATACACATTAAGGCATAAAAAAAAAATAAAAAAAAAATTGCGCAGGGACAACAACACGGCGTTTCACTCGTGGAATGTCCCTGTGCAGGTCGCAATTTTACGATCGAATGGTGTTACGATCTTCGTCATTCTTTGGGATCCTTTTATTCTATAGCCGTAAAAAGCTGTAAATGTCCTGCACAAAAAAAATAAATAAAATAAAATGAAAAAAAAAGCGCATTCACCGACGTGTCCGACTGCAGTTGACGTATATATATACTTTACGACCATATATGGCATTCTCATCCTGCGGTAGATGAAAGGTGTTTCATATGCGTTTGTCTAATCTTTCCATTGGTTTCTCTCGCGGCATTTGCAGTGTAACCACGTGTATTTATCGCGTTGCATACGCATTGTTCTTGCGTAATGATTTTCCCTGTCAACTTGCGGGCAATACTTCTTTTCGATTGATTGCGTGCTTTATTGTCTCGTGGGTTGCTTTGTTTATATCTTGAAACTTTTATTTTCGTTACAAAATGCTCTTGACGACCTTTTAGACCGAGTACGATTGGTAAGGGCAGAACATGCTCTACACCGCATACTGCTAATGTCTCAGGCTTACATCGTTCAGATGGTCCGAGAGAGCATCCATGTCGAATATTACGTTGTCCAACTAGAAAGAGAAGACAAATCAAATTATCAGGAGCCAATGAAAAATAAATAAAAAAGATTATAGAATACTAATGGAAATGCAAAAATATATGGGTAGCTCAGACTGTCCTACATTATTTTTTCACTGGTCCCAATACCCCGATTTCAGAGCATACTGCGAGTACACCCGCGGACATTATTAACTGAAACACCAGATCCGATCATTTTTCGTGTCCGCGGTCGCAACAACCTCGGTGATATCTCAGTCAATAAAGTAGTCTGAAGAACGAGACCTCCAGTTCGGATACAATTCGGAGTTTAAGCCACAATTCATTAAAAAAAAAAAATCCCTGGCAGCTAGGCCGAAGGAGCGTAAAGGTCTGTTTCAGCTCATTATTATCCGCGACAGTACAGAGTTCCTACAGCGTTTGTGGCAGAACAAACGCAAATAAAGCAGAAAATAATATGGCTTCTATGAGAATACTTGCGGCCATCATCCGTAAGACAATGTTATGTTCTTTCATTGTTCCTAAGGTCACCGATGAGATGTGAACGGCAGCGAGGTCCTTCGGTTTTCCCGCCTCCAGCGTGATCATCCTACCTTCGATGGTGCTTCGGCGTCTCGTGAGCCCTCGAGCATGCGCGCGCAGTTAAGGCATGACGGAAGGCATCGAGTGCTTGCTGGAGGCCAGGCTTTCGAAACGAGACGCCCTTACGTTCTCATCTTACCGGGGACTATGCGGAGAGCAAGTTTGTCTGCTTCTTTTGCTGAGGTCGCGGTGACGTCAGAACAACGCAGAGTTCTGATTGGCTCTGATTGGAAGGATAGTGGGTAGACCTCAAAGCAAGCTGCCTTGAGGACTACCCACTATCCTTCATTCAGAACCAATCAGAGCTCGCTGGTCTGACGTCACCATAGCCCCTGCAAAAGGAGCAGACGAAGTTGCGCTCCGCAAAGTACGCACTTTGAAGATTTCGAAGTTTTCGGATTTCTTTAGGGAGTCACATGTGCCTTTTATCTACCAGTGCACATCGGGTGAATGGTCTTTTTTTTATCTAGATCAATTTGGCTGCTGTCACCGAATTGGCGGTCTTTTAAGGTTCTTTTCCTACATTAAGGACATGCAAATAACATGAAGTTAATGGTCAGTGTGTCATGTGCAGATAAATGTTCGACGACTCGTACGTTGCCCTCGTGTTCCTCGGCTGTCGAGGTGGGAGTCTTGCCGTCTTTCACCTGCGAGCAAGGACGACAACCACGAGAACATTTAAATACACAGTTTGGAACCGTAATGAGGCAACGCTAAGTAACGCGTATGAAGCACCGCTCAGACAAATAAGAAGGTGTCACGCTCGACTTGGAAGAGAAAATACGTAATTTCACATTGGCATGTGCTCATAAATATTCATGATGGCGACCGGTTGTAATTACAACGCGCGATGAACAGGATGACGTCATCGATCTAAATCGTTCATCCCATTTATCGGCTTATGTGAATGCACTCGCAGAAACGTTAAAAGGCATCGCACCCCTACTGAATCACGTCTGAGCTGGAAGTTTCAACCATCAGGGTTGAAAAATCAATGTATAATTTTTTAGATATGATTTTTTTTTAGATTACTTGTATCTTTGGCAAGTTTTATTGTTAATATGTCATCAGACTCCCTTTCATAAAATGTACCTCATTGAAGTACGTTTGAGGATTATCAAACTGAACTAAATATCTTTACCACTAATTTGATAAAACCACGAAGTTGAACCTGATGAAATATTTTTAACTTTTTTATTTTTGCGCTTTTTTGTTTCTGATATTAGTATGTGCAACTCATATCTTTCGTTCAAATGTACAGCGGTACTTAGAAAACGGTTAGTCTGTTGACAAATCTAGATAAACAAAGTCTATGTAGATTTACGCATTTAGCTTTATGCATAGTTTCTTAATGTCTCAAGTGTTGCATTTTTGTAAACTTACTTGATTTAGGTACTTTTCGGCGTCATTGAGGATCTCCTTCGTGCAGTTTAGCTAGAATTCAAGAAAAAACACTAATTATAATCTTCATTTGTATACGACAAATCTCTACATCTGAATAATAGCTTCAAATTATTAATTACTTTTCACGATACATATCTGAAAGCGTTTTGTCTAGGAAGGGGATAATTTGCATTTTTCGCAGGATTTTATTTTCCGTTGGTATAGCACAATATATGGCTTTCTTAAAACATCATCATTTCATAGTAACCCTGGATAAAGTCGCATTTCCATGATATAACGAACGTGTGGTGACTATAATCGGTTTTTACACAATCTATTATACGCTCCGGCCAGCGGATTTTTTTTTCCTAACAGTAAACCGCAGCTTTCAGCGACTTGTCGTTTGCTCGGCACGGGAGGCTCGTATAGAATTTGAAGGGTTCTTTTCCAAACACGGCTTTATCCCGTAATAGATGCAATAAGTTCCTTACGAATTCGTCCACCTCCTCGTCCGGTTTCATTGTGTCGTTTTTCTTCTTCATCTGCGAGTTAAAGCAAGTTGAGTGTTATACGCAGTGTTCATTAGAAACGCGAAGGACATCTAACGCCACCGGTGCAGACGGTAGGCTCTTAAAGAGGCACTCCTCTCCTTCTCCTCCCTCCCTCCTCCCCCTCCCACACATACACATATATGTTTTAAATATATTTAGGCGATTGAATATGCTGTCAGGAGACCACCCAATCAATATTTTGCTACGGAGTCACGTATATCTTTAATAAAGCAAAAAAAAAAAAAAAAAAAAAAAAACCTCAACCGCTTGAATTTGAAATATGAGCACTGAGGCTCATGGCCACGACATGTGGGTGATGTGTACCGAAGAGGGCAGAGAAATGTAAGGAGAAAGTTTCCGAAAGTCGTGCAACTAGACCCGACCGCGTTGTTTTTTTCGTTTTTTTTTTTTTTGGTTAGTGAAGCAGACGACGACAACGTCGAGGTTGCGTGTACCGTTTGTCGTGCGATTGTTTAGCACTTATATCCCTTCCACTCGATGTTCTGCGCTTGAAGATCAATTGGCCGGTACCACGAACGACAGTTCGGAAGTAGCGGCCCCACGCCCGCCGCAACGTTGGTCCTTCGTGCGCCGCCATTGCTTCGTCCAACCCGCGGTACGTCGCCATATTGAAAATGACGTGGTACATGTACTTCCTGTGATCTGTGTAATGTTTTCTTTTTTTCGATCGACGTATTTGCAACTTTCTGGAGGCCACAAAAAATAGGGTTCATATTCTTTTGTATGTTTAATATTTAATATGTGGTTTAGATGAACCAGGGTTTTGAATTCATTTGGTATGCATTAGTTTGAATGCCACCCGTGGGAAAAAAAGAGTGAGCACGACTGAAACCGGCGAATTCTCGACCGG